TTTCATGGCACTTCATTTTTCCCCCTCTAAAATAACCCTGATGAATCTTGCATCTGGTTTCAAACATTTCCCTCCCGGCTTGAAATTTCCAAGAGCTTTAAATATTCATTTACAAAACAAAATTAAAATATTGTGGCTTTGCAATACCAGGAAAACCCACAGCATAATACCATCAGGCCCCTGAGATAACACCAAAACCCTGAAAAACCCCAGGGGACCAATGGCAGCAGTGAGGGGGTTCAGCCTGCCTTGTCTTTGTACTACAAAAATGGTAAATGTGTTTGTTTGTGTAGAAAACAGCCCCTAAAAAATATATGGGAATAAAGATCAGAGCTGCTTTTTTAGAAAATAAAATGCAGCTTCCAAATCACCCCTCAGCTCACTCTGCTTTTTTGGGGGGGGAAGATGTCAACTCAGCCGGTGCTGGGGTCTGCCCTGCTCACCCCCAGCCCTGTAACACAACCTGGAGGAAATCTGTTCCATAAATAATCCTGCCTGGATCTGTGACGCCTGCCAGGGGTACTGCTTGTTCCCCCTCGCCCTCCAGCTGGCCACACATGTCCTGCCCCAGCGCTGAGCCCGGCTCTGGAAGGACAGGGAGCCTTGGGGAGAGTCTGCAAGCAGGGAGCAAAGCCAAGGAACCTGCGCTGCTGGCTCCCCTGCACCTCGTGTGGGGTGAGGGCAGAAAGAGAGAGAGGGAAAAAAAGAATTCAAATAAAGCAGGGGGTATTTTTATTCATCCTTGTCTTCTGCTAAAAATAACCGGTGTTAATCTGCCTGGAGAGCGTGGGGAGGAGAGGAGTCCCTCCACCTTGGCTGCACTGTGAGGAGCCACAGCACTGAAGCTCTTGAGAGGGGAGGAAGTGGGTTTTCTCTTTTCTCTCGGTTTCCTTTCGTGTGTGCCAGCACAAATAAACCCGAAATAAATAATAACTGATAATAAACTAATAAACTAACAATAAACAAGAAACAATACAGAATAGATATTACATAATAAATGGTAAATAAGTGATAAATGATAAATGATTAATGATAAATAATAAATGATAAATAATAATAAATAATAAATAGTAGATATTAGTAGATAATAGATTATAATAGATAATAGATGATAACAGATAATAGGTAATAGATAATAGATAATAGATAATAGTAGATATTAGTAGATAATAGATGATAATAGATAATATATTATAGATTATAATAAATAATAAATAATAAATAATAAATAATAAATAATAAATAATAAATAATAAATAATAAACAATAAATAATAAACTCTGCCCCCGATGGTCCCAGGGCAGGGATCCTCCTCTTCCCAGGGGATCAAACCCATCCTTCCCCCCAGAACCCAGATCACCACTGCCCATTTTGGGGATCAAAGCAGCTTTTTGTGCATCCTGACGGCGCCGTGGCTTCCCCCCGCCGTGCCCGCGGTGTGTGCGCCCCTCGGGGGGCCCCGCTGGCACCGGGGGGCAGCGGGGCAGGGGCCGGTGGGGAGCTGTTGTTTACGGGAGGTGCAGCCAGGGTTGCACAACAGAGCGCAGGAGAACAGCGTGTCCTTGCCACCGGCTGTGGGTGCAGCCGGGCTCCCGGCAGGACGGACGGACACGGGGACAGGGGGACAGGGGGGAACAGGGCACGACCCCTTGCTTGGCATGAGGGCTGTGGAGCCCGGGGGTGCAGAGCAGCAGGGAAGGCCGGGATGGGACAGGGACATTTCTGTGTGAAATTCCCCTCAGTGTCCCTGCGGGAAGGCCGCGGGGAGGATGCCGGGTGGCAATGATGGGCCAGACCCGGCCTGGGACGATCCCTGTGATCCCTGCCGAGGCCTCCCCCTCTCTGCCCGGGCTCACGGCTCCCACCACGGCTTGCTAACAGCCAACGCATCCCCCCGACCCGTGGGGACCCCCAGAGAAGTCCCTGCTCTGTCACAGGCCTGACCCTGCCCTACCCTGCAGTGTGGCCAGAGCCGGATCTTTCCAGGTGCATTTCCAACCCACAAATTGCCAGATTGCGGCCCAAATCCTGGCTCTTGTTGCAAAAAGCCCCCCAGGCCAGCCCCCCAAGGGACACCTCCCTCAGAGGCCTCCCTGATCCTCGATCCAACCCTGAGCTCCCATCCTCCTCACGGCTCCCATCCTCCCTCACGGCTTCCTTCCAGACACCGGGGACAGATGAAAAGACACAAATATTTTCTCAGATTATTTCCCTTCCGAGGAAAAGGGGAAAATCGCTGCCTTCCCCGGCTGGCAACGAGCAGCAGAGAGGCGGACAGAGCCCAGGGCTCCCTCAGCCCTGCCGGAGATCCAGCCCCACACGAGAAAGGGCAGGATGCAGCGGCGGGGCCGGAGCAGGGAGGATAAATAAAGTCCGGCTTTGCCTTCCTGGCTTGTGGCCACTTCTAACACAAAGTACATTCCGGTCTGGACGTAACGAACTGTACCAGCCTCGGGGGAGGGCGGATGGCCGGGGCTGGCCGGGGGTGGCCGGGGGTGGCCGGGCTTGGCGGGGGGCGAGCCGGCGCCTCTGCCCCGGAGTGGGCGCAGGGGAGACGGGGGGATCAATCCCCCCGAGGCTGTGCCCTGCCATGGAGATGCTTCCCTGCCAGGCGGATGTGAGACCCAAGAACTCCTGGAGATCGCCCGCAGGTGCCCCAATGCTGGCGGGTTGGGGACACAGGCGGGCACAGAGCGTGACTGCGGCTGAGCCCCCCGAAGCCCCTCCGGCAGCTCCCGGCGCTTCGGACCCGCTCTCCGCCCTCTCGCCGGGGGCCCGGAGGAGCCGCCGGGGCCGTGCCCCTGCCGGGAGCTGCACCGGGCGGGCGCGGTGCCAGCGCCCGGCGTGGGGACGCGATGTACCGGGAGCGCCGGGAACAGGCTGACTCAGCGCCGGGCCGGCGGGGGGGCACCCGGCCAGGGACACCGGCACCCGCCGGGCGGCTGGGCTCGCTCGGGGCTCCGGCTCCTGGGGTCCGCTGTGGCCCCCAGCACCGCAGCCCGGCAACCCCCCGGTAACCACCTGTAACCCCCCCCAGAGCCCCCCAAGAGTGAATCCCCATCAATGTCATGGAGGTATCCCCCAAAACCTCAGTCTGCTCCCCCAGCCCAGCTCGCCAGCATTTCAAGTAATTTAAGGCTAAAAACACCCCCTGAGGGGGAACCCAGCTGCAGGGAGCCCTCCCCCCAGGCTGGCTGTTGCAGAGCACCAGCCTCGAGCTCTGCCCGGACTGATGCAGCCCAGCATGCCCTCCTTGCCCTCCCCACCTCCCTGCAGTGCACTGCTTCCAGCAGCACAAATTATTCAAGGTGAGGATTTTTTTCCATTTGTGCCCTGGTGGGCAGCACTGGGGGGGATTGTGGAGGTGTGTGGGTGCCTGGATGTCCTCCCAGGGTCACTTCTGTGTCCCTGTGTCCCACTTGTAACCTCCACCACTGCCCTGAGCTGGGCAGTCCTCAGCCCTCAGCAGCTCTGGGGGGGGGGGGCATCTTTGAGAGACCCCACTTGCAGCCCCAAGGATGGAGGAAAGACTGAAATCCTCATGCCAGGTTTGGGAGCCCCTGGGGCTGATAATTGCCTAGGATGGGTCCCTGTCCTTCAGTCTAATCCTTCCCCTCTTCCAGCTTCAGGGGGAAAAATATCCGAGTGGGAAAACAGGAGCATGTCTGACATTGTTCCCTCTGTCACAGGCAAAGGCAAAGCCAAAGCAGCCGTAAAAAATCATCAACAATTGGTTTTGGCAAGAAGAGGCAAACCAGAGCTTTCCATGAATTTATTTTTTTTTTTCTTTTTGCTAGAAAGGTTGCTTTTCTTCCAGAGGGAGCTTGAAGGATGGCTTCTTGCCAGCATCATCCCAAAGCCATCTCCCTGGGACAGCGAAAACCTGGCCCAGATTTAGGAAAACCTTAAACCACAGGATCAGGCCCCCACACCCCTGGGGTCTGCAGTTGGGGTCTGCACCCATTGTGCCCCATGACCTGGAGCTGCCACGGGGGTTTTGCTGCTGCAGGCACAGCTCGAGGTGTCCCAGGCCAGCAGAGGGTGGTGGGGGCACACGGGGGCATCTCCCCGAGGATTAGGGGTTCCCCAAATCCCTGGTACTGGCTGGGCTGTCCCACACCCTGCAAGGATGTGTTTCATCCCTCTGGGTCCTGCCGTGGCCAAGGGACACCCTGAGAGGGGCTCCTGCCCCCCCGAGCTGCCCCAGCCACCCCCAGCCACGTCCTGAGGGGATAAAGGCTTATGGGGGGAACAAACCCCAGAGCCAGTTGCAGGATCAGGGAGCCCCAGGTGCCTCTGTGCACCCCCAAACATGTCTGTGCCATCTGAGGGGCTCTGGGCAGCCCCTCAGATGGCACAAGCAGCCCTGAACTGCCCCAAAGCCCCCGCTGTGCCCCCCAGCCCAAAGCCCAGGAGTGCCCCTGAGCCTGCTGCAGGATCAGGGGCATCACCCCAGGCTGCAGCCAGCTGGGGTGTGCTGTGTGAGGGGACATGGAGTTAATCAGGTTGTGCCCGGGGTCTTCCCCTGCTGAAATCACTGCCCTAAGCTGGAGCTGCAGGGCTGCTGCCTGTCCTTTCCACCGTGGGGGGCTGCTCAGCCCCCCAAAAAACACATTTCACCCCTCCCAGAGGGGCTGGGGTTGGCAGCCCTTCTGCCCCAGGGTGAGGGCTGCAGGAGCAAACACCCACACACACACACAGGTTTTCCTCGGAGTATTTTGCAAGGCTGGGAGTGGGGTGACTTTTCTGGGGGTGTCTGCAAAGCTGGGCATTGGGTGGGCACCCCACTGGAGCTGCAGCGGGTTGGGGGTGCAGGGACACCCCGGAACGAGCAGGGAGGGAGCTTCAGTGCATCTGAACAGAAATTAAAAACAAATCAAGAAGGAGGAAGAGAAGAAGAGGAAAAGGCGATGTTTGGGGGCAATAAAAAGGGTTAAAGCAGTGCAGAGGAGGAGAGGTGAAGGCCGAGGGCTGGCGGAAAGGGGGGAGAGGCGGGGAGAGGTTGGGGAGCTGGGCTGGGTGAGAACATCCTGTACCCTCGGGTAACAGCGGCCGGGGGGGCTCTGGGGAGGGGGGAAGTGCCACACACCTCCCTGGGAAGTGGGGCACCCCTTGGGTGACCCCGAGGGGATGGGTTTGCACATTGGGGGGGGGCAATCCTGCTGATGGGGTGAGCCTGGGGAGGGTCTTGGGCTGCCCTGGGTCCCTTCGGTCTCACATTCCCCACTGCTTTAGGGCAGGGGAGGAGGAAGGGGCGCCCCAATGATTGTACCCCTCCTTCCCCTGTCCCCCAGGTCTCCCCACAGGGGACCCTCGCTGCAGCAAAGCCCTGCTCAAGGGTGCCCCACTCTGCCCTGAGGTGTCCTCACCCTTCCGGGGGTCCCCCTGTCCCCACCCTGCCGGGGGTCCCCCTGTCCCCACCCTGCCGGGGGTCCTCCTGTCCCCATCCTGCCGGGGGTCCCCCTGTCCCCACCCTGCCTGGGGTCCCCCTGTCCCCACCCTGCCGGGGGTCCCCCTGTCCCCAGGGCTGCCAGCGCCCCACACGCGCCAGGGGCCCCTTCCTGTGTTTGTTAAGACGCCGTGAGTCAGGCGTCTGGTTTTCTGTTTAAGCCAATATTTACCAGCCGAGAGCTGCCAAAACAAAGCTGCGGCTTCACCAGTAAATATAGGGCTGAGATGGGGCGGGGCGAGGGGGGGTTTATGCGACCCCCACCTCAGCACAGCCCCCCTTCTTCCCACCCCTCTGGTGCCCCCTTCGTCCTTCTGCCAGCGTAGGGACAGCACAAAAACGGGGACACCACAAAACCCCCATCGAGCACCCCAGAGTTTAGCCCTGCTTGCCCCAAACATCCCTGCTCCTCCTTCCAGGGGACCCCCACTGCAGGACTCGAGGGGTGACAGGGCTGGGGGCATTTTGGGGACCCCCACTGCAGGACTCGAGGGGTGACAGGGCTGGGGGCATTTTGGGGACCCCCACTGCAGGACTCGAGGGGTGGCAGGGCTGGGGGCATTTCAGGGACCCCCACTGCAGGATTCGAGGGGCGGCAGGGCTGGGGGCATTTCGGGGACCCCCAGGCTGCGCTGCCCTGGGCTGGGGGTCGCTGCCGGGCCGGGGTCGCTGCCGGGCCGGGGTCGCTGCCCTCTGCCGGGGCTGGGCGCTGCTCGCATCCTGCCCCTGCCAAGAGCACAAAGCTGCAGCCGGGGCCGGCCCTGGGCAGGCAGGGCTCCCCGGGTCCCCGGTGCGTGTCCCAGGAAATGCCAGCCTCTCCGGGGTGCTGTGGGGCAGCGTGTGGGGCTGGGGACCCCGCACAGATGGGGGGTCCAGGCACAGACCCCGTGTCCTGTGTGCCCTCGCCTCGCTGTGCCTGGGGCTGCAGCAGCCCATCCCTGTCCCCAGCCACCCCTTACCCCCACCTCATCCTGCACCAGTGAGGACATTGATCTGGTGGCCTCCTGCCAGGACCACCACAACAGTGAGAACAAGACCCTCCAGATTTTAACCACCTGCCACAAGTTTAAAATCCAGCTCAGAATTTTCTCCTCTTGCAGCCCCTCTGAGCCAGACTGGCAGGGGCCAGCAGGTCCCCATGTTGCCCCCCATGTTCCCCTTCCCCCAAGCTGTGCCACCCTCCCAGATGAGTCCCTGGTGTTTCTGCAGGTGCAGATCCTCAAGCTGCCTGTCCCCCTTGTCCTGAAAATAAAGTTTCCTGCAGCCCCTCCCCAGCTGCCAGGGGGTGCCCCCAGCCTTTGTGGCCTCCCCATCTGGTGCAGAGCCCTCGGGGCAGTGGGGAGTGGAGCTGTGAGTGCCTGGTTCTTGCCATCCCCAGCCAAGAACTCCCTTCTTGATGATGCCCTCATCTGCTGCTGCTTCCACAGCTCTGCCAGACAGGTGCCTCCTCTTCCTCGCCCTGCTGTGTGCCACAGCAGGAAACAAACGGAGGCAAGCCCAGCCCAACAGCTGCCTCAGATCCTGGGGCTGCTGCATCCTCCCCTTCCCTGCACCTCCTTTTTCAAACTCCCCTGGAGCAGAGCTCAGCCCACGCCTTGCTGCTGGCCTAGCCCAGCTTGCTGTATGACTGCACACACACAGGTAAAGCATCGTGTCCAGGTGGCTTCTTCAGGGACATCTGACCCTGCTGTCCCTGTCCTGGGCCAGGGACCTGCCTTGAGTGAAAACACCACCTTGCAGCTCTGCAGAAGCTGGGGTTTATTCAAATTCTCCCACAGCTAGAGCCAGGAATCCCTGGAGAGGGGGAAAGGCAGGGGCAGCATAGAGGGGCACAGCGGGGCTCTTTCTTCACCGCCTCCTGGCCTCGTGGGGGTCCTTGCAGACCCCGAAGTCCTTGTTGGTGATGGAGCCCACGATGGTTTTATCGGCGTCACAGGTCAAGCCGCTCTCGCAGGGACACTTGTAGTACACCCCATAGATGCTCTGCAGGGAACAAGGACTCAGTGCAGCGTGGGGGACGTGCCCCGTGCCTGCCCAGCCCTGGCAGCAGGGCAGCACCTACCTTGGGAGAGCACTCCTGGGTCTCAGCTGCCCGGGGAGCGCAGCGGGCCAGGCTGAGGCCGTTGACGCGGTGGCAGCAGCCGCTCTTGCACTGGGCACTCTGCAGGCACAGCTCCCCGATGTCCTGCAGCACAAGGCAGGGCCTGAGCACTGGCTGCCTCTTTGTTCCCCTTTAATCTCACCCTAGCTGTGAGCCCAGGGGGTTTGGGGGGGTGTTGAACACCAGCTCTGCCCTTTGGCTGAGGTTCAGCACCGCTGCCCCCGTGCCCCTGCCTCCCTCTCTGCAGCATCTCCCCAGTCTGGCCCAAAACACCACCCAGCTCAAAGTGGTTTTTTGCTGGACTCACAGGAGGGCTGAGACACCACAGGGAAAGCATTTCCCCTCCCCAAGCCCTGTGAACCACCCAGGGTGGGGGTCCTGGCTGGCTCAAGCAGCTGAGAGCTTGTCTGATCCATCTTCTTAGTTCCCTATCCCTTTGTAGAGCTGATTTCCCAGGCTCCAAGCTGCCTCGCAACACCAGAAAACCCCTCAGAGCCCTCCAAGCCTCCCTGGCAGCAGTGGGACCCTCCTGTGCCAAGCCCAGGGCTGCTGTCCCCTTACCAGGTTCAAGACAAGCCCTCGCTCCTGCTGCGCTGGCAGGGCTGGGGCCAGGAGCAGCAGGGCCACGAGCAGGCAGGCAGGCAGCACCTTGGCCATGGTGGGCTCGATGTGGCTCTGCCACGGGGCCAGCAGGTGTTTTATAGCCACAATCTCCATCAGCTGATGTGGCTGCTCCTATCACACCTCAGCTCGTGGCATTGGGGTTGCAGTGCCCAGGGCAAGGGCCCAGCGATGCCTGGGCAGCCAGGGCTCCCAGGTCCTGTTCCCAGGACTGTCCGTGTCAACCTGCCCTTTAGTAGCTCCTTTGGACAGAGGGAACACAAGATAATGGCATTTCTGTGCTTCTTCTTCCTCCTCTGCTTCCTGCTGGCAGCAGTGGGGCTGGAGCTCTCTGGAATGCCCTCCTTGCTGGGTGCTGCTGATGGCTCCTGGGCAAAGTGAGGGCTGGCTGCCATGGCAGGGGCTCTGCTCCATGGGAAAGCCACCAGATCCTCCATCTCTCAAATGGAACCATGGGCACCAAGAAAACTGCTGGAGAAATTTCCTATTGTGCAGGAAAGCACAGCCCCCTGCAAGGATCCAGAGCCCACCAAGGTCCCCAGCCCAGGGTCAGCACTTCAGCCTGCCCTGCCAAATATTTGCTCTGTTGTGCTTGGGGGGGTGGGGCTGATAAAAGGAAAACAACCCTGGGAACAGCACAGATTTTCGTGCCCACAGTGGCTTAGCTGTTCTTGGATATGATTAATGGCCACAAAACCCTGGCCTTTGACAGCCACAGGAGGGATGCTGGGGCTGGCACTGGCCGCAGGGTGACTGTCACACCCTCACGTGGCACCTGTCCCCACGACAGGAGCTGAACCTGCGTGCTCACTCAGGCTGCAGGGCAGATGTGGCTCCTGGAGAGAGAGGTCCCAAGGTGGCTGCAAGTGCCTGCAGCCCTCTGGGGGTGCCCATCCTCCCCTGGCAGCAGGACAGGGGCCCTGGCAGAGTCCTGGCCCTGCCCAGCTGCTGGCTGGCACCCCGGGGTGTCCTGCTGGCAGGATGAGCCGTGTCCCTCTCTGCAGTGGAGCCGTGGGGATGCCCCAGTGATGCAGCAGCCCTGGTGCTCCCCAGCAGTGCAGGAGGACCCTGGTGACCAGAGGGGAGCAGCCAAGGGGACACGGAATCTGGGACACACCACAGGGCACGCAGCAGAGCCCGGTGACATCCTGGGGGTCATGGCACAGCCCCTGGCACGTTGTGGGAGTCAGGACACATCCTGGGTCTCATCCCAACACGCATCCCGGGGCATGTGGCACGTCCTGGGACACACCCAGGGGCGTGGGGTGCAGCCCAGGCACATCCAGGGTGTGCAGGGCACAGCCCAGGGCGTTACTGGGGGGACAGGGGGGGACAGAGTGCACCCCTGAGGGCACTGCAGGGGACAGGGGGGGACAGAGTGCACCCCTGTGGGCACTGCAGGGGACAGGGGGGGACAGAGTGCACCCCTGAGGGCACTGCAGGGGACAGGGGGGGACAGAGTGCACCCCTGAGGGCACTGCAGGGCACAGGGACACTCCGAGGCACAGGGCGCACCCCAGGACAGACCATGGGGCGCACACTGGGGATATTTGGGTTACCACAAGGCGCATTTTAGGGCACACGAAGGAGGCGAAGGGCGCATCCCGAGAGAGCATCCCGGGCACGCCGCGCACGGAGCATCCCGGGAGCGCATCCCGATCGGCACCGCCCGCTCCCTCCGGCTGCGGCGGCGGGGTCGCTCCGGCTCGTCCCGAGTCCCCCCGGCTCGGCGGGGGTGGGAGGAGGTCTCGCCGCCGCCCCCCGGGGCCGGAGCCTCCCGCCGCCCCCGCTGCCGCCGGGCGGGGCCGGAGCGGCACCGGAGCGGGGCCGGGGCCGGAGAGAACCGGAGCGGGGCCGGGGCCGGGGTCGGAGCCCCGGGACCGGAGCCCCGGGGCCGGGGTCGCTCCCCAGCCATGTCCAAGCTGCTGCCGGCGCAGGAGGCGGCTCGGATCTACCACACCAACTACGTGCGGAATGCTCGGGCCATGGGGGTGCTCTGGGCCCTCTTCACGCTCTGCTTCTCCATCCTGATGGTGGTGACTTTCATCCAGCCCTACTGGATCGGCGACAGCATCGACACGCCGCAGGCCGGCTACTTCGGCCTCTTCTCCTACTGCATCGGCAACGCGCTCACCGGGGAGCTCATCTGCAAGGGCAGCCCCCTGGACTTCGGCACCATCCCCTCCAGTGCCTTCAAAACTGCCATGTTCTTCGTAGGCATCTCCACCTTCCTCATCATCGGCACCATCCTCTGCTTCAGCCTCTTCTTCTTCTGCAACGCAGCCACCGTCTACAAAGTCTGTGCCTGGATGCAGCTGGCAGCGGGTGAGCGGGGCTGGGGGGGCCGGGGGGCTGCCACGGCCGAGCCTTGTCCCTTTGTGCCCTCGACTCTGCTGGGGATGGGGGTTTGGCCAGTTGAGAGACCCCAGTGTCACCTCCGTGCCATTTGCTCCCCCTTGCTGCTTACCAGTGGGGAGTTTTTAGTGAAAAACTCCTTCCAGAGAGCTGAGGCACAGCAGACTCGCTGCATGTTGGGTGATGCTGCCAAACCTTGTGGCCCTAAACCTTGTGCCCACAAACCTTATGGCCTCAAACCTTGTGGCTGCCAAACCTTGTAGCCCCAAACCTTGTGCCCCCAAACCTTGTGGCCCCACTTGCCCTGGGCAGCTTCTCCCAGCCACTGCTCCTGCCCAGCTTCGGAGGATCCGTTCCAGAGCACCAAAAAACCCCCCCAGGGCACCAAGCTCTCTCCTGTGTTTGGGATCCTGCAGGGACGGAGCAGGGACACAGCGGGTGACTCTTGCTGGCCCTTTGTGGTAACTCCCTGAGCTCAGGGAACAATGCCCAGTGGGGAAGATGGAACACGAGGAGGGGACTGGCTGATCTGTACCATCACTCTCATTTTCTCCCTTTGCTGCTCATCCCCGCGGTTCTCGAGCCTTCCCCACCTCTCCCCCAAGGCACTTGAGACACCTGGTAACCCAACTCCTGTCCTCAGCTGGAAGCCAAGCCAGGGCTCTGCTGCTGCTGAAAGATTCATGTGAGCCGGGGCTGACCCCGCGGGAGGGGCTCCTTCAGTTCAGCCTAAAGAATCGAGCTCAAGCTAGGATTTAGATAAGAAGCTTGGGGCAGCTCAGCCTCCTGGGGAGCAGGAACAGAGACAGGCTTTGCTGTGGTAGCTGGGTTTTTTTACGTGGTTTTTTGTTGTTGTTGTTCTGAATGGGGGGAGAGAAAATTGTCACAGGCAATTCTGGCCAGATGGACAGGTACTGCTGCATTTTAGGAATTATTTTACAAAGTGGGCAGGCTAAGGGAGGATCAATTTCCTGGCCTTTGCTCTGAACCAGGGTACAATTTCACAGAAATTATTTCTTTCCCACTTTCCCCATTTCTCTGTTAGTTACAGGGAAGATTCATTCTGTATGCAGAATAAATTTATTTATTTAAATAGATTTATTTATTAGATTTATTTATTCTGTATGCAGAACCAACTGCTTTTCCATGAAGAGAAATCCTCTCTGCAAACCAAGGAAGCTGCCTGCTCACCTTGCTGCTGGCTTGTCCCCAAGCCAAGAGAAAAGAAAACATTGGCAAAGGACAAGGCCACTGCCCCAGAAGGGGGTTCTGGTTTACTGAGCACCTGGTGGCAGAAAGGAGCACAGGTGTGGGACAGGGTGCATTTAAGGAGGCTGCAGATGTCCTTGAGGGGCAGGGACAGACACCTGATTGTCCACCACGGGTTTGTTTCTTGTGTGAGAGGAGTCAGGGACTGCCTCACATCTGCAACATGTGAAGGGCTTTTGTCAATCATGTCCAAAACATGCATCTTAATTCATCCCTAGCCTGGTCATTGTTCTTGCCCAGTAAATACAATTTCTCTGAGCGGGGGAAAAAGTCACTTCTGAAATTTTGGGGCACAAACTGCCCTTCAGCAACCTGCTGGCACTGGGGATGGTGCAGGGCACCTCATGACCAGGCTGGAGCAGCTCCCAAGGTTGTGTGTGAGCTCTGAGAGCAGTCACAGGAGGAGCTACTGCTGGAACCACTGCAGCTGAACAAGCAGAATTAATCTGCCCACAAAGCTGCTGCTGACAGCAGCTCCACCTTAGCAAACCCTGAGCTGGAATCAGCTGCAAGGCGCTGGGCCAGGGTCTCCATCTCACACAGGCTAAACCCATTCCAGCTTTGTTTGGAGAAGATATTTCCTTGGAGTGACAGGGCCAGGGCTCTGTGCAGAGGGAGCAGAGACGTTGCCTGGGCAACGCTGCCACAGGAGATGCTGGTGCTGCACATCCTTGGCACGGCAGATCCTGCTCCTCCCTGCCTGTGCAGCACAGCAGAGCCCACGGGGATGAGCCACCACAGTGCCTTCAAGGGACAAGCCTGTGGCACCTGATGTGTCTGCAGCATGATGTTTGCTCCTCCAGCTGCTCCCTCCACTTCAGTGTTGGTGCCTGGAAAATAGAATGCATCTTTCCAGTTGGGGTGAGTATAAAAGCAAACCTTTAGCTGGAAGCTTGCAGGTGAACAACATGGCGAAAAGTACACGTGGTATAGTAATTCTACAATTTTTATAAGGTTAGGAGATTAGTGCACCTATCACACACTGTCCAGTTAAAAGGTTAGTTGGCTAGGTAATAATTCCTGGGGCCCTGACCCTCTGAAAGCATTCCAGAGGTTTTTTTTTTTTTTGCCCCACTTTTGTTATGTCTCATCCAGATTCTGGTTGGAAAACAATGTTCTTGAAGTTGGTTCTCTTCTTGGAATAAGACTAAACAATATTTAGGAACGTTCTTACAAGGTTCGCTTGCTCTTCCTAAAGGTAGAGAAGAAAGATTAGAAAAATACTAGGAGCTACAGCAATTTACAAATTCATGTAAAACAGAAAAAGCTAAAAATCTTACGCATCCTCATCAGCCCAGGAGCTCAGTGTCCCCCTGTCCCTGCAGCCACAGGGCTGATGATCGGCTGCCTGATCTACCCCGACGGCTGGGACTCGAGCGAGGTGAGGAGAATGTGCGGGGACAAAACGGACAAATACACCCTGGGCGCCTGCACCGTGCGCTGGGCCTACATCCTGTGCATCATCGGCATCCTGGACGCCCTCATCCTCTCCTTCCTGGCCTTCGTGCTGGGCAACCGGCAGGACAACCTCCTCCCCTCGGATTTCAAGGTGGAGAATAAAGGTGGGTGTGGTGGGATCGCTCCCGCACAGAGATTCAGCCCCGCAGGGCGTCGAGAGGCTGCCTGGAGCAGAGGCAGAATAAAGCAGAATAAAGCAGAATAAAGCAGAATAAAGCAGAATAAAGGAATAAAGCAGATTGATTAAAAAGCCTTCAAAGGATGCACCTTGGGCAGTGCAAGAGCCTGGCTGTGGCTCCACCCAAGGTGGGCTCAGAGTTTTCACACTTTTATAATTTTTGGTCCATTTCCATGTTGGGTTAATTGCCCAGTTTCAGCTCCAGGTTGTGCAGTCCCATCCTCCCAGTCTGCTCTCCTCAGCTCCCTGTTGTTTGCACTTTTTGGGCCTTTTGAGCCTTTTTGTTGTTTGCACTTTCTGGGCCTGAAGCTGCAGCGGTGTCCTTGGTTCTGGGGCTGGAAAAGGATTGCTGTGTGTGACTGAGCTGTGAGGAGAACTTGCTGACTCTTTATATGGAGTTCAGGGTTAAATACCAGTGCAGTGCAGAATCTGGAAAATGTGGAAGCTAAAACTGAAGGCATCAAGATCATTGCTGTTGCTTGGGTGGATGGGAGGGAGAGCCAGCAGCAGGCAGAAAATTGATGGAGAGCAAGGCAGGAGCCCAAATTCACCCAGATTACATTTCCCAGGCCTCTGGGGCTTTCTTATCTTGTTTTAAACATATTTCTTTTTGAAAACAAACTTGCAAAACACGTTGATCCTTTCAGCTTTACACACTAACTCTGCTATTCTCTTTTTGTTTTACAGAAGAGGGAAATGACTGACAGAGCTGATCACCACGTAAGTGATAACCCACACAGATTTTTAATATTCCCAGCATCCACAATGTCACTCTTGTATTCTGATTACCAAAGCACTGACAGCTGATTTTGGTGCTGGAATCACATTGGTTTTATTTGTGGTTAAAGAAGAAATTGTCTTTGCTTTGCCTCCCAAAAGTGGGAAAGCACAAACCCTTGCCAAGTGCAAAATAAAAGAAGCATAAAATTTGGAGTCATACTACATTTCCCAACAGCTGCCTTACTCTTTCTGTTCCCAGGGACATCCAGAGCTCTTCTTCCATCAGCCCTTTTCTTTGAAGTGACTCTTCTAGGAAGCTTAAACTTACCAAATTCTGTGGATTTTCTACAGCTGTTTTCTTCACCCATGGGGCTGCTCTTGGCTCAGCTCTTGTGGAGCTCATTTGGTGGGAAGAGCCCAAAATGGACATAAGAGTTTTTCTGAGTCCATCAGCAAGAGGGACAAGAGGGCAAGGATGGCAATTTGCTGCTTTTTGGGGGGTTTGTACACCTTCTTTCAAGGAAAATACTTATGAATTAAAAAAAAAAAAAAACAAAACCAAACAACACCAAAACATCAGTGTTTGGGGTTTTGTGCTGGTCTCCTGAGGGCAGAGGAAACCCTCTGCCATATTCCAGGCTGCTCTTTTACTGGAAAAATACCATGACAGGCCAATTCCCAGCTGAGCCATGAATCAGTTTCCTGCTGTGGGCAACAATCACCAAACACAACCTCTGGAAAAGGGCACTTTCCTGGGGAAAAAAAAAAAGAAAACCAGCAAAAGCAGAAAGCAGCATGCTGGGCTGGGACAGCAGCTGCAGAGCTCAGCAGATGGTGCCAGTCAGCATCAGCTCCCTGCACCACCCAATTAATCTGATTAAGCCATCATTTCCCATCCATCCAACACCCACCCATGGCAGCCCTTGGCACAGCTCATTTCTGCAGAAAACCAAGCAGCAATTACCTGGTCAGAGCCCCAAACCAGCCTGCATTATCATTTTCATCTCTGCTCGCTGTAAATTGCTGGTTCCTGCACTCAATTCAGTTCAGTTCTAACAAGGACCTTCCAGTGTTATGCTTCCCTCTAAAAAAATGTCTGGGAAGGTTTTATTGAGACTCTTGGCTAGATAAAACAGCAGGGATATGACGGACTTGAAGAAAAATGTGTTTTAGAATAGAAAAATTCCAGCAGAGTTGTCCTATTTTTTACTCTTCTCCCCTTGTAAAAGTGGATCACAACACCAGCAACAAAATCTTTACCTGTCTCATTCTGGAAATCAAAGCTGAGTGTTCACTAGTGAAGCAAATTCCATCCCTGAGCCCCTGACTCAGAACAGAATTACAAGGGGAATGTATGAAGACTAGGGCTCAGTTATTAAATAATCTGTTTATTGCAGGGCTTTCACAAAGGAAAAAAAAAAAGAAAAGAAAAAAAAAGACAAAGCACCCAAGTAGAAAGAATAAAAATGTATTTTCCTTCAGGTTTTAGACTGACACAGCAAGTACAAATCCTTTAGTGTGAGCATGTCACAGCAGTTTGGAAATGAACAGACCCCAAGTGAACGAGCAGAGGTACAAAACTGAATTGTGACAGCTGCTCCTGCAGGGCTTCAACTCACAAGCTGGCTCTAGCCTTGGCTGCCAGGGTGAAAAAACCCCCCTGCAGTCAGGGCTGGCAGAGGGAAGGGAAGGAAGGATGGGCAGGGGCTCTCCACAGTCCAAGAGTGCAGACCCTGCACTGGGAAATGTTCCTTCATCAGGACTGGGTGAGCTTTCAAGACCACAGGAATTGTTTGCCCTGCCAGTGTTATCTTCACAGCCAGTTGGAACCCAGTACTGTCTGCAGTCCTCCTGTAACAGACACAGAAGGGACCCACAACTGGAAAATGCCAGATAAAAAAAAAAAGAAAAGAAAAGGTTAACTCAGAATTAAAACATTTTTTGGTATGTTACCTGCCTTTTTATTATTATATGCATAGAGAACCTGATCTACCACTAAAGGAACATGCAGCATGATTTGCATAAACAAGCCAAACCAGGCTCTGAACTGGAGAAACTCTGTTCATGTGGATTAAATGAGCTGGTTTGAGAGTGAATGATCCTTACAAACCACAGTTCCCAAACACACACACAGGAGTGACACATAACAGAGGTCCTGGCAGCTTTGGCCCTGGAAATGGTCTTGGATAGCATCTGCATGGTCTCCAGCAACTTCTATCCTCTGCAAGCCACCACAAATCCAAAGGCCCCTTTGGTCCAGAGTGAGGAAGGGACTCTGAAGTCTCAATGCTGCCAAATCTTGCTTAGAGAAGAGTGGGATGCACTGAACCTGTAACAGGATGGGCAAGTCTAGAAGAAGCCATCACAGAACTATCAAATGCCACAGTCATTTAACTTTTAATTAAAATTAATCCATTTAACCCATTGTATCCAAACCCCCTCTGAGAAGTTTACATAGAAACCCCATAGAATATTTCTTACTCGGGGTAACTCTAGAAACAGCTTCTAATCCAGTATCTAGGTGGAAAAGTCACTTCTCTTCCACTTCTGCTAGCTTTCTTCTTGTGCTAATGGCCCAGAAAATAAAAGGCAGTCCCATCCTGGGAAGTTATTTCTGAAGGCCTGCACCTGAAGCAAATTAAAAGAAATCTCTACACTGGAATTTCAAGTGTTGCTTTTCAAAGTCCAGGGCTGCAGCATGGCTGTGATACAGGCTCTGCAACCCTTCCCTTGGGAAAAAAAGTGAATGGTCAAAAACGACAAATCAGAGCACACTGCATCAGTGAAAGCCAATCTCTCATGAATACCACCTCAAGCAAGGCAAAAAAAAAGTGCCAGTAAGGGGTAAAAAACCCCCAAAACGTATGGCTCACTATAATGTAAAGAGTTGCCTGCAATAAGGCTCTCTCTGCAGGCTGAGGGTGCACCCATCTGTCTGCTGAGGGTTGTGCGTTGAGGCAGGCCCAGCTTTTGCTGATTTTGCTGCCACCTTTTAGTCACAGGTGTGGAAGTAGAAAACACCAAATCCAGAAACTATTCTGACTATCAAGGGCACGGGGGAGGAGAAGAAATAAATGGACAGGGCACTTTGGAGGAAGAAATAAAGCATACTAAAACCTAGGTTTAAAAAGCTCTTTCAAAAGCAGCTAGAACTAAATAAACGTTTCTGACTGGAAAGCAAAGAACACAGACACCTAGAGAGTGATGGAGGATTTCAAGGTCTTTGCTCTACCAAGGATCTGGCACCACCTTGATGCCAACTGTTACTTCTCACCCCATCAGTAGCTACTGGATCAACAGTGGGAAAATTGACTCCTGAGTCAGTGAGATCTTCACAGGAAGAAAGGAGAGTTGGAATTTAGCTAAGGGAGATATCTGAGCCTGGGTGAGCTCACATCTGTCACACACGGTGCTTTACAGTGAGGAGACTGAGGAAAAAATCTCTTATTCTAGTCAATTAGTCTTTGGTGAAGCCCAATCAAGGCAAAAACACAGATGATGCCCACTGGCTGAGGAGAGTCCCCATTAAGTCACACAAACAAACTCAGCAGAACAGGTTAGATTTATCTAAAATCTTGGAAGCCTTGAAGGAAGAACTCCACACTGAAAGTGAACAAGGAGGAAAATGGATCTGGGAAAGGGCAGCTGGGTGTGTAGGCTATGCTGTAAACCAGAGTTTAACGTTGTGGCATTGCTTGGAAGCCTCTAGGAGTTAAGCCAGGGGTGCCTGAGACATTCTGCTGCTGTAGCTCGTTTCTCTGGGACCAGCTCCAGCATAGGGAGTAAGAAGTCTGTGAATGCAGCTGCCTCATCTTGGGCCCACTCGTATTTTTCCACCAACACTTCAAAAAGGCCCCAGGGCTTCAGTTTGGTGATGTGCTTCAGATCACCTGAAAAACCAAGACAAATGGTTTAAGTGTAAGGTACAGGAACAGAGCAGCTCAGTAAAACTGGCTGAACAGCTAAACATGACAGAGTGAGCTCAGGGACTGTTCTAAGGGAATACAAACTGCTGGGCCATGCTGAAGGGAGAAGTCAATTATATCAAACCCCTTTTTCTATCTGCTTTAGAGCCTGTTATAAAAATGTACTTCCTCAAAGGGCTCTTTTTTCACCTCCTGCTATTTCAGTTCCCCTATCAGCAAATATTAACTTCATTAAATCACCAATTGTGCTGCTTGACATGACAGATAAACTGTGCCACTGACTCTGGGACACAGGCAATGCATGGAGCACTGTTTGAGAAAGGAATACACTACTAATAAAGAAGGGCTTGTTTTATAACCAGAGTTATTAAACTAGGTCAAAACCTAATTTTTTGACTCAATACATTTCTGGGGTACTCAGAGGACTTCATGATAATGTTCATGCTATTTCAGTTCCCCTATCAGCAAATATTAACTTCATTAAATCACCAATTGTGCTGCTTGACATGACAGATAAACTGTGCCACTGACTCTGGGACACAGGCAATGCATGGAGCACTGTTTGAGAAAGAATACACTACTAATAAAGAAGGGCTTGTTTTATAACCAGAGTTATTAAACTAGGTCAAAACCTAATTTTTTGACTCAATACATTTCTGGGGTACTCAGGACTTTATGATAATGTTCTGTGCTCTGAGCCAGGCACTATTTAAGGTGCTTTACATTTAGCTGCAGTTTTACTGATAAAGCATTTCATAAAACAAAGGAAAGACTTGAAGATGCCATCTTTGCTGGCATCTATTTCTAACAGGCTTTTCCAGCAAGACACTCCTGTCTATTTGGGCAAGGGATGAGGGGATAAAGTGATATTTGCTTTGTTTCCTTTTACCTTTCTTGGTGAAAAACTCCTTGGAATATTTTCCTGCCAAAATGAGCTTGCGAGGTATTTTCCCCAGAAGTTCTATGATCAATGCAATATGATCTGCATGTGAAAAATAAAAAAAAACCAAAAAAGACAATGAGAGTCATCCACACAAAAGCTCTCTATGCTAGTTTCATGCTCTGGGATATAAGGATGAAGACATTATCCCTTAAAAATTACTTTGGAGACCCATATGAAACCAGGTTACACTAAGCAACAACAAAGATGAGGAGCAGGGGAAAACAAACATGGGCAATTTGAGGCACAATCAGTTTGAGACACAAGGTAGAAAATCCAGCAGAAAGAGGAATGCAAAACACCAGAACAAGAGCATGGACTTTGTTGCACAGAGTTTTACTGCAGAAGCTTGAGCACAGCTGCTGCTGATTTGGGTAAATAATCTTTTTGCAAGGAGCTTTTGCATTGATGATTTGCAAGACAAGGCTCATTTTGAAGAGGCAACTATTGGATTTCAAGTCCCACTTTAAAAAGGAAAACCTGAGACAAACAAACCTTCATCTCTTGAGTAATCTTCCCCAGAGTGAGGCTCGAACAGATAGTCCCCTGTTGCCAACTCAAAGGCCTAAACAAACAGAAATGAGCACATTAAATCACTTCAAAACACTCTAAGTTGTGCTGCAGGTTGACTCTGCAAATCTCTGTGGGCCAGAAGCAAAGCAGTGGGAAAGAATAACCTGCAAAATGACAGTAAACAGCTGTAATCCTAAACACTCCATCACAGCCTAACCTGTGCAGGGACTTGCCAACACTTTCACAGCTGCATTAAAAGCATCATAGGCACACCTGGGATGAATTTTGGGTGCAGGACCACCAGTTAACCACAAAGTTAAGGTATTTCACATGCTTAGCCTTTCCTCTCCAGAGTTTTGCAAAAATAACACCATGCCCACACTACAGTTTCTGGGGTTGGTTGTTTTCAGTTTGTTTTGTTTTGCTTGGGGTTTTGTTGGGATTCTTCCCTCTCCCCAATTTTCCCATGTTTTTCAAACAGTTAATCTCTGAACATCTGTCTGTAGAGATGAAAACACGTTTTAAATGAGAAAAACATCTGCACTCATTTCAACTCACCACTCCTAAATTCTGTAACACATTCACCCTTGATGTGTTCACTTGTACTCAGAACACCCCCCCTGACCTTCTGTATTCTCCATTTTCTTTAAGAACTGCTGGTGCCAAACAGTGGCATCAGGCACACTGTGTAATTCTGGCCACATGCTCTGCAGAGAAAACACGACCCTACTGCATTTTCTTTTACATTCACCAAAATCCCAGCTTGTTTTCCAAGACAGCAAAAATGTCTATTTTTCCAAGCTTAAATTATAAAACCCAAGCTTTGATTTGTAGAAGAGACAGAGTGGAGACACTGGAGAGGCACATGCAGTAAGTGGCTTGACTGATTTTTTTCATTGGCATATTCTACATTTGCCAGCTGTTAGAGGAACAGCTTCTTCCTCATCTCAGCATTACTCAGACCAAACATTGATTCCAAACCCACAGAGGATGCTTAAAATTAGAAATTATACTGAAGGCACTTGTGAAATAGTGCTAGAACCAGCAGAAAGGTTTTTATTTTTTAATATAAAAAGACATTGTGTTCAGAATTGCCTGGTTGTCCTGCTTTTCCAGAAAGCACGATAGAAAGTACAATCATATTTAAAATCTGCTGATGCTGGACAACAAAACCTTCAAAAAGAAAGCCACATGTGGAGAAAAAAAAGATAAATTTACAAACCAGCTCTGGTGTGGAAACCTGTTATTCAACAAGTCTGGAAGCTGACTGAACACTTGTAAGGGATTTTTGCCAGTCCCTCAGCAGCTCAGAGGGCAGAGCACAGAGCAGGAGCATGCCCAGCTGCAGAACTCACCATGCAGGCTGTGCTCCAGATGTCAGCAGGGGTGTTGTACCCTGACCCTATCAGCACCTCCAGGGAGCGGTACTGCCTCGTCTGGATGTCCTCAGTGAAGTGCTTGTGCTAAGGACAAGAAATGTTTTATTAACACCTCAAGATTGCTTAGAAGAGGAGAATCAACAGCCTGGAAGGCTAGAGTGGATCAAAGCTCATTACCATTTCGTTTTACATCC